TATTTTTGGAGGATTCGACACATACCGACAACATTTTCGGAGAGTCCGAGAAACATAGATTGGTATTACAAGGTTTTATTGATGACTTTAGACAAGTTTAAGAACATATAGCTATAGCAAAATAACTTTAAAAGTGTACATTTCATAAACAACACATTATTTCATATTCATTTTACCTGGGAACACCAAGGACACCAGCATTCATGGTGAGTTGATCAATGAGAAAAGCAGATTTAGGCTCCATACTTGATGCCAATGCATATTGGTTACTAAGTCCATCGCCTGAAGGAACAAAGTATGCTCCATTTACCATTTCATCCCCTTCCGTCCTCCAGTTCCACTGAGTCCAATCTTTCTCGTTTGTGTCAACTCGCTTCGTCACCTACTTACATTCATAAGATTCAAAGAGTACGAGTTCAAATTTCAGTGACACTGATCGCTCTCGTTAATGGAAAATATCCACATTGCTAGTACTATGGAAAAATAAATTACCTCCTTGGCATTAGGGTCCTCAGGTGCAGTAAAACGGTTGCCCTGACTGTTAATGGTGGGACTAGCGCTACCACCAATTGCATACATTTGCCATTCTGTAAAATCGTTGTTGACTACATGTATATACCCTCTTCTACACCTTGGCATTCTCTGTACCAGCCCTTGTCCAAAATGATTAAAAGCTATTGTCACCTGATGATTACATATCAAGATTCAAAATTTTCATCTTTTATAAAAAATGAAAAAACAATGTGACACACAAACAATTCTTTTTGTTCACATAACTATTAGTGTATAGAGGAAGGGAAAATGCTTACCCTATTCAATACTACAACAACAATAACATGCCCAGTATTATCCCACACTGTGGGGTCCGGGGAGGATAGTATGTACGCAGACCTTACCCCTACCTTGTGAGAATAGAGAGGTTGTTTCCAATAGACCCTCGGACTTAACCCATTCAGTGTTTATATCAAATCAAATAATCTTACTTTAAACGTCAGAACATCTTATAGACGAATTTAATTGTCAGTACCATGACCTAGCGACCACGTGGGCATCTCTAAGTTGACCTTTCATGTTATTTGAAAATATAAACCTCAAAGTTCATCTTTAGACAAAAAGAAGAAAGGGAGAATTACAAATATTATTAATTTTCCATATTGGTACCAAAAGATTCATATAAATAACAGTGATCAAGAGGCTACTGAGATTTAAATTTTTTCCCGGCACATACTTTAAAATAACATGAAAGGTCTACCTAGACAACAATAAATAATTGTGATATTTTGACTCTGAACTATCTTCTAGACGAACTAAATTCAAACTGTGACATCTTAACAAACTCAAAATTTCTTTAAAACCCAATTTACAAAACAATTAAAAAGGTAATTAAGAATCTAACCTGCATGCCGAAATCAGGCAAGTAACGATCATCGTGTCCCAAAAGCATAACTTTATCATGGTGAGTGAAATAGCTATTAGATATAGTAATAGCAGTAGATCCCATAATAGCATCAATTAAGCCATCAGTACAATGAGACAAAGCACAATGATCAATCCAAATATTCCTCGAGCTATATATGGAAATTCCATCACCATCTGACATGCCTCTCCATCCAACTTCAGTTTGACTTTGCCTTATATTACTATTTCCAGATGGAACACAATTGTATATATGTATATTATGTATGATCACATTTGATACATATTGTAACGTTATACATCCACCCCCTGTAACATGCACGTTAGCTCCGCGGCCGTCGATGGTTTTGTAATTATTTATCATGAGTTCATGTTTTAGTGTTATGATCATGTCTCCGGCAAAGGTGATCCACAGAGGTTCGTCTTGGATCACCGCATGCCGGAGAGTTCCTGGGGTTGGGTTCACGGTGTCTAAGTCGGAGGGATCGGAGACTAGGTAATACCGACCGCCTTTTCCTCCGACTGCACCGTGACCGAACCCAATGGCACAATCGGCGAGATGCTGGCGGTTGTTGGCCCAGTTTGGGTCGCACTTCCAGCAATCGTCTATTGGATTGCCTGTAAAACATTGGAAATTTGTTACTGTGGTATCGAGTATTTGTCTTCTTGCAACGGATTCATTCACCCTCCTATCACCAAAAAAAAAGGAAAAATATAAGATATACTGTGTATTAATTCTGCAACAACAAAAATTATTAGCAAAAAGACCAATTCAAGCACGGGCATACGCAAAATTTTGGTAAGCGATGTCAAAATTTAAAACAAATGAATAAATCATTATAATGAAAAACGGTGTTGTTTTTTTATATTTATATCCAATATCTTCATTTTGTATGCTATTTATATATAAATATTTATTAAAAATTTCGATGAAGCAATATCACGTGACACCGCTTAGTGCAAGGTGTATCTGCCCGTGAATTCAAGAAAGCTGTGTATGCAATATGAACAAAACCAAGATTAAAATTTTGAATAATATGCGGAAAAAAAAAGAGACATTCAGAAGAGAAAAGGCAGTTATGAGCAAAATACAGGTGAGGAATTAAAAAAAAAAAAACCATTTTACCTCTTTACTTCTTGAACAACAGCTTCAGGAAAGGGGTGTTGATAAGGAAGAGTACGATTAAAGGTAGCTATAATAACAGGAGATAAGGAGATTAAGAAGAAGAAGAAAAAGAGAATGCAAGTATTAGAAAGCATTCTTTGAAAGGAGGAAAAATGGTGATGATGAGTTGTATTCTTGTTATTGTACTTATGTTCTGATTCTTGTTTTTGAATGCTCAGCTAAGAAAGTAGCAAATTTGGGCAAAATTATAATGTCTTTTATATAGTAGATATAATAAAGTCGAAAAGTGATTAATTATAAAAAGAATATTTGGCTTTATACTAGGGTCTTGGATTTCATAGGGGTATATTTGATGAAGGAAGTAATTTTAGAAATGGTGGCTGTGATATTGAAACCAGCCAAAATCCAATTCCCATAGAAGGGAAATTGAAGAGGAAAATAGAGGATAGAGTAGCTTTTTTTGTTCTTTGTATTCTCCTTTGCAAATTGCAGCCTCCTTCAGTTTCTTACATTCCTGTCTTGCATCTTAATTATTCTAGGAGTTATTAATTAAGAAAGAAAAGTTTGGATTTTTATCCAAGTAAACGGCTTATACAAAATGTACAAACAACTCCTTCCCCTCCTAGTGGGTATTTAAAAATGTATTTGTCGTCTGAAATTCATTGATCCGACTAATTTAGATTTGCATTACGTAAGATCAGGTCGCATAGAGCCGGTAAAAGGAGAAACGTTTCATACTAGAAATTTTCTTATTCTAGAGACTTGAACTCAAGACCTTGATTAAGGGTGGAGAGTTCCCGTCCATTCCATCATATTCAGTGCCGGATGCAACTCTTCATCAGTGCTCCATATTCTAGACGAAATAGATCTTTATGTCAAAAACAACTAAATTTTCTACAAATATTAAACATAGACCCTTTATTCAGTGCCAGATGCAACTCTCAACAACGGGTTCATCAGATCTCAATATTTCCGACGAAATAGATGTTTATGTTAAAAAATCACTAAATTTTGGTATTTGACCACACTCTACGTGTGGAGTTGGCGGTTAAGGTTGGTTCCGGCTGGAATTGGCGGTTAAGGTTGAAAAAGTCAAAAGTGTTATGGCTACTTTTGGGATTGAGATTCTTTGCTGAAATGGAGATAGATTATGGTAGTTAACATCTCTGGATCAGGACAAGAACCTTTTTCCTGCTACTTTTCAAGTAAAGTCTAAAACGGTGTGAAAGTTAAGATTTCATAAATTCTATGTAATACAGTATCAACTGTTTACCCTTTTCTCAAGGTCATAATAACAATAAATTCAATTTTCAAAACATATAAAAAGAATTTTTACACGTTTCACGTCTCCTAAAATATAACTACAAGCAGTAGTGGAAACAGATTTTTCAGCAAAGTAATTCAAAAACTGTGAATAAGCGAAAGGATTTAACATCTAATATATATCATCGAAAAAAGTTAATCTTATATACAAAGTATAATTTTCGATCGAAAGAATCCTTTTCCGTCCATCTAGCTCCACCCCTGGCTACAAATAATTTCTCCTAATAGGTGCGTAGAGAAAATGGTTCAACATAACCCCTACAATTTGAATGGAAAAAAATAACTCCGCAAATTATAAAACTAAAATAATTAGAATGGCCACAAAACCGATTGATCTAGTTGTGAAATGAGTTGCTTGAAAAATAAGACGGACAACTTATTATAGTAAGTTAAATTACGTTTATTCACCATAAGTAAAATCTTAATGCATTAGGTGAAAGGATCTCGATATTTTTTAGATACCCAACTTTTTATCTTTTGGTGGAAACTGGACGAAAAGGAGGGAAAGACTAGAAATTAGATTCCCAATTGGAAGCTTAATAATGACATCTAGTACATCCATCATTAAAAGCTTACCAGAGCCAAAATATGCTTCAACATCAGAATAATATATGTATCAGATGGGATACAGTCTTTATTAATTTTATGATATAAGCAAATCACAAAGCAGTAGAGGAAATGAAAAGGATGAGCTCACCTCGAGTGAGCTCTAATGGCGAACAAGAGATGCCATAGACGAGGGACTTCTGGAAGCTTCTTTTCTATTTCACTAGAGAATGAGCTTGGCTCAAAATGTAAAATGATACAGGAGAAAAATGAATACAGTACAGTATTTATACTACATACACCTACAGTTGTACATAACTACCAACTCACTTGTACAACTAATAAATATACACAAGTGTGTCAATAACCCCCCC